CAATAAACAAGTTGTTCCTGGGGGATTAGAAGAGGGACAGTCAGTCTGAGGAGCACCTAGAGAGCCAACATGGAGAAGAAAAAAAAAAAAGGAGCATGTGGCTAGATAATGGAGCAAAGACAACTGCAGGGTTTTTATCTGTGCTCCAGATTTAAGTAACTCTTTTGTTATCAAAAATAACTATGTCAGCATCAATAACCTGCTGATTATAAAATGTATTCTTGGCAGAGAGGGGGAATTAACATCTAATAAACACTTGCCATCTGCCAGGCACTGTGCAAGGCTAGTGATTCTCAGTATTTTAGTGGTCAAGGACTCCTCTGGGATTCTTGTGGAAACTATAAAATCTCTCCCTTAGAAAAACTCAAATGAACACAAAATTTTACAAAGAATCACAAGGGCAAACAATGTTCCAAAGCATAATCAGACTCCAGATTAAAACCCTTTGTGTTGGGGCGCCTGGGTGGCTCAGTGGTTAAAAGCCTCTGCCTTCAGCTCGGGTCATGATCTCAGGGTCCTGGGATCGAGTCCCGCGTCGGGCTCTCTGCTCAGCAGGGAGCCTGCCTCCTCCTCCTGTCTCTCTCTGCCTGCCTCTCTGCCTACTTGTGATCTGTCTGTCAAATAAGAAAAAAAAAAAAAAATCTTCAAAAAAAAAAAAAAAAAACCCTTTGTGTTAAGCCCTTAAGATCCCAGAGCATGTCATTATTGAGACAAGATACCATTATCCCCACCTTACAGATGAGGGGCCATCCCTAAGGTCACATACTAAAGTGGCAGAAACATTTCAGACAGAGTTGTCTGAACACTACTTGCTGTCCTAGATAAAAATGTCATTTGAAAATAAATACAATCTTTAAAAAAAAAAAAATGTCATTTGATTTTTACTGTTGTTATAACTGTCACTCCTTATTTTTAAACAAAGAAGTAAGATTATGTGAGAAACTGAAATCTGTGCAAAATATTCTAGACTCAGCCACAGGACATCAGAAAGCTCAGAATTCCCAGGGGTTCCAATCCCATTTCCTATCAGCCAAAAGCCCCACTCCTCCTGAACTCACCTGCCCAGAAAGGAAACAAGCCAAAGAGGTGCTTTTCTTAGCCAGGTTTCATAAGCCTCAGAACAAAAAGCAACCTGTCAATAATATCTCAATAAAACTAGGGGGAAATTTTTTAAAGAGGCAACCTCTCTTTAAGATAATCTATCAGTCAAAATGGGAATTGAGAGACCAGTCAAAGCCTATGGATATGAAACAAAAGAAATTTAATTTCAGAATATTACATGAATAACAAAGACAATGCATAGGATTGTTTCTTTACAGTTACATATATATATGATATATAGTCAAGTAAGAATGAAAGACAAAAAATGGTGAAACAATTAAGAAACCTTGTTTCACTTGCTGAGCAAGCTCAGGGAGAGCCAAGGGCGACCCCTGCTACGAAAGGCCCTGGGGCGGGAGTGTTTTTCCCAACAGGCTCTGCCAGTCTCCAAGTGTCTGGGGGAGTGCTCAATGGCTCTTCAGCACCCCTGGCTGTGGCCTCGCATACTCTAGTTTCCATGGCAACCTAAGCACTCAGGCTATTATGTACTCACCTCCTCACTAGCCCCTCCACTGACTCTCCATGAGTGGAAAGATGTCGGTAGGCACTGGCTGCCTGGGAAAACTAGCTTTTCCGTGGGGAGTTTTAGATTGGGTTAATTACCACTGGTATGAAAAGCTTGTCCATTTTAGGGACCCAAAATTTCCCCAAATTCTACAGCAATCTTGCCAAATGCCAATACCCAGGTTTAGATCAAGGTCCTGTCTTCAGTACAAAAGCTTCAGGGTGGAGGGGACAGGGATGAGGATCTCCCTGGGAAAAGGAGTTCTATTTAGAAAAGACCTTCCAGCATTTGTGTGAGGCCCTGTACGATGTAAGGAAGCAGCGAGAGTTTAGAGAAGTCTGTTGCCAAAGATGGCTTCCCTGGCTGTGCATGGGCCACACGGCTGGTCACTGCAGGGCACAGGTGCAAGGACCACGGGTTCTCTGTATCCAAACAGAGGCTCCTGGGAGGGAAGCTGCACAAAAACACCACTGTCCAGGCGGAGAGAAGGGATTTGCTGGCTTCCTCACAACCCAAGAAAACGGCCACCTCTGGATCACCCAGCAGTCACGAGTCAACTGCCCTGTACTACTCCATTTCCCAAGAGTGCTCCCAAGAAGGACATTTAGGGTGAAGAGTTGGGGAAGGAGCGGCTGCAGTTTGTTTGTTACAATTCGTTAAGTACCAGCTCCTTGAACATGTTCTGGCACTCAGATACTAAAAAGGTACAATCAGTATCTTCTAACCTTTCACTGTGGCACTGGAGTTTTTCAAACCAGATTCCCTGGTCCCAGGGCAAAAGTCTATCACACTAAAAGGTTAGAAACTCCAGTGTCTATGGTTTTCCCGGTGATCTGAATCGAGGAGGTGCTCTTGTCTTCACGTTTATGCTCGCTGGCACGAAAACACTGCCCTGTGCTGACACCCCATCAGAACCATCACAACCGACCGCAGAAAGAAATGAAATGTTAAAAGCCATAAAAGGAGACATTTCCAAAGAGACTGTTCCAACATGAAAAATAAACATATCAGATTTAAAAAAAAAAAAAAAAACTTATAGATTAAAAAAACTGTTAAATACTGGCTCAAAAATACCCACCCACCAAGTCAAAAGGGAGACAGTACCCTGCTGTGGCAAATGATAAAGGGCTTTTGTCTTGTAGTTAGTTCTCCACAAGATTCCACAGGATAGGAACACTTACATATTCCAAGACAGAAAGTTATGCTGTTTATTTCTCAAATTTGATTCCAACTGGATCACAGCTTCAACTTAAAAATGACCTATCACACCCTTTAAGCAAGGGAAAGTATATTTAATAAATAACTTAAATGAAATACACATGCCCAAATTCACACACAAAGTGCCCAAGGGGGCGAGCTATACAAAAGCATGTGTGCATGGCAAGCACCTCTCCCACCACTCTAGGCCTGGCACACTTCCCCGGGGTACCAACCCATTCAACCAGAGAAAGTCTCCTAAGTCTTAGCTGCCTCCTCAAATAGAAGCCCAGGACAAAGCTGGTGACAGGAAGGTATCAGGTCACTGCTCTGCGCTCTCCACCTGATGCCACGCCATTCTGGGAGGAACCACTTAGTAAAGAAAGGAAGCTTCGGGTTAGGGAGAACACTATTTCAGTCTGGTCCTATCAAAAGCAGTCTCTGTCTGCATTCACTCGTAGCTGGTGCTTATTTTCTCAATAAGGAAAACCTAACTGGAAACCTACACAAATAAATTTGCTAACAAGTATTTTTAAGAAAGACATATAAATGTTCTGAGAAAGGGCCTTCTAAGAGGCTTATAATCCTCACCATCTGTTGCTCACAATCCATCGAGCTGGAAGGCCAAATCTTACGCTTCTCTTCACTATTGTTGGAGTAGCCAATGCGACAAGAAGTACGGAAGAGAGGACGGACAGCTGGACACAAAACCAAACCGTGCTCCGCCAGCATCATCCTCCGTTTCAGTAGAAACGCAGCTTTTTCAAGAGTTTAAAGATAACAAGTCCCACTTTGCTGGGCAGCTGCTCCCCAGGAGCCTGACTGGGATCTGGCACAGGGTGAGGGCAGCTCAACGGCTCCACAGAGCAGGCCCACTCAAACACTCCCGCCACTGGCCACACGCCCTCAGGCAGTGAGTATTTACACCAGATCAAAGCCACGCTGCTGCTTACCTCTAACACACACGAACATCCTCAACCCCGTCAAAGCCCCAGCCCCACCTCCAAACTACTCCTTTGCCCACCCTGACAAGGAGAGGGGTGGTGCGGCAACCCTCCTCCAACACTGGTGATCAGCCAACAACCGCTTGTAAAGGAGAATATGCTCTTTCAAATCCTCTCAGCCCTGCAGAGTGACGCGCCCTTCCTCCCGGGGACTCCAGCTTGCCCTCAGCGGAGAGTCTGACCTGCACACCTGATCCCTTAGAAGGATGCAATATAATCCCACCCACCAGCAGTCACCCTGGACACAAAACCAGCAGGTCCCATCCTAGTCACACTCCAGAGTTTCCAGTACATTCAGATTATTTCAGCAAATCTCTATCGAGCTGTCGGTGACTTCCCTTGAGTCACAGGGATCTGGCACAGAATATTGGCACCAGAGATGTTTTAGGCGAGGGGAGACTGAATGAAGGCGACGAGTTTGGCAACCACACAATTACTTTGGCACCACGGAGGAAAGTGGGAGAGAGGGAAGGGAGGGAGGAGGGACAAAGTTTAATAACTGACATTTGTTAAAATATGGTACCATTCTGAATTCTCCTTTTTCAATAACGCAGGTCAAATATCCTACACCCTCAGGTCCAAGAAATTATTTTTGTAATTCCAGGAAAGCTGGAAGTTCTTTGGACAAATGGTATTGAGGAATATGGCCTCATGAGATCAAGAGCTTTCCCAAAGCTTATGGTGAAAAAACAAGGGAAAGATATCTGTCTTAGGCATAATTTAGATGACCTAAAAAATGGCTTTAAAAAAACAAACAGCAAATTAACAAGAAACAACCAAAATAACACCCATACTATCAAAACAGAGAAAAGCCCCAAGTATCAGTTAAAAATAATATCAATCCACCAGGACTGACAGCACTTTAAAAAAAAACAAAAACTAGTAGTTGAAAGAACTTTCAGATTTTTAAAAATAATATCTGCTAAAACAAATTCATGGAATGAGCACTGGAGCCCAGCTGGTTCTGCCCAGTTACTGTGCTATGTGAGCAGGCTGGCTGCTTAGTGGTTTCCCCACAATGCTTCAAAGACAAGAGAAAGAGAGATGCCAGCGCCCATTCAGTAGACAGAGTCTGCAGACATTATCCAGTGAGTGTGGTTAGCGGCGTCAGTCAGGTCACAGGATTAGTTGACTTTCACAGTGCTAAACGCAGCGAGCTGCAAGTCCAAGCTTCTCTGTGAGCAGTAATGACGTATGGCCCACTAAAGAGGAAATTCCGGGTGGACAACAGGAGCACTCTAGATCCTTCAGAGGAATCCTAGGTTGAAGAAAAAACAAGAATATTAAGCACATTCATAAATATTTCTTTTTGCAATCATCCCACCTGAAAGCTAGAGAGGCTGTACTTAATATTTTCTACAAACTGAGGATTAAAGAGCTTAATTGAGAATTTATGACTTCTACCAAGTAAACATTACTTTGTCTAGTGCCTTAATCTCAATGCATTAAAACAACTTAATGGCAATAACAGCTACCGCTGTACTAAGCGCACATTTTGCACCAGACCTGCTCTCAGTTCCTTGTGTACATGATCTCATTTATCTTCACAACAATCTGTGCATGAGATAAAGCTCTTGCCATGTTACAAGTGAAGAATCTGAAGCCTACAGAAATTAACTTTCCCCAAGATAAATAGATACAAGCAGAAAAGCTGGGAGTTGAACCAAAGCCTAAGTGAATGCAGAGCTCCTGGCCTTCCCACCACTATGCCTCTTGCCAGCAAATGTTTACTAAATGCCTAGTAGATGCAAGGTACTGTCAGCACCAGGAGGAAGATAAGAACAGAAAACAGGAAGTCACAAACCTATTCTTAAGTCTGGCCCTTGTCTTCCAGAAGAGAAACTAGCTACAGATACCAGACAATACATGTGAAGTCAGTAACTACAATAAATCATACTAAACGTCAACGTTTTAGTACCATCAATAAGCAACGGAAAAGGTACATCTGGCTGGATTAGCCAAAGAAGGTTTCAAAGAGGAGATATGCTTTAGGTTGGGCTTTGAAGAATGGGTAAGGTTCTTACTACTGGCGTACTGAAATAATGCCCATTAATAAGAAAATAATGAAAATAATGCCCATTAATAAGAAGGTGCTAAATCGGGAGTTCTCATCTGGGAGTAAGTTTGCCCTCTCCTCCCCAGCAGATACCTGGCAATGTTTGGAGGCATTCTGGTTGTCCGAACTGAGGGAAGAAGGGTGCCCTGGCATCTAATGGGTAGAGACCAGGGGAAGCTGCTAACCATGGTACAATGTAAAAGGCAGCTCCTCATGACAAAGATCTGACCCAAAAGGTCCACAGTGCCACCTCGAGAAGCCCTGTGCTAAAGAAATGCCTTTATGGAGTGCACTCTTGATGGTGATAGTAAAATGACATTATCGCCTTCAAATAGTATTGCTTTTACAAAATCACTATCAAAAACCTCCAGTTATAGTCATTGCATAAAAGAATTAGATGGCAGGTAAGTGGATCTGTGGCCTTGGAAACTGGAAGAGAGTTCAGATCTGGAGATGCAGGTCTGGGAGCAGTTATCCTACAGAGAAAAGAGAGCTGTGGGTTAGCCCAAGTTGCTGAGAGGTAAAAACAAGAGCAGAGGTAAGCAGAGAATTAAAGATAGAACACTTAAAAACACAAAGAGGAGGGGCGCCTGGGTGGCTCAGTCAGTGGAGCATCCAACTCTTGGTTTCACTCAGGTTGTAATCCTGGGATGGGGAGAGTGAACCCTTCATTGGGCTCTGGGCTCAGCACGAGGTCTTCTTGTCTGTCCCCTTCTGCTCCTCCTCAACCCCACTCACATACTCTCTCTCTCAAATAAATAAAATCTAAAAAAATTAATAAAATGAAGAGCAGAGGGGTAGGCCAGCAGTAGTAAGCTACCACAGAGATGGAAAAGTCACAAGGAAGAACAAGAATAAGGTAGCATCATGACAACCAAGGCAAGCCTTTCAGGCTATAGGAGGTGACCAAGGAGAAAACAAAATGGAAATGTCACTGCCTAATCTAATTCCAAGTGTTCGTTATCTGTAGACCCCCACTTTTCTGAATCACTAACATTTTTTTTTTCCTAAAGTAGGCTCCATGCCCAATGTTCAGGGCAGGGGGACTGAACTCAACCCTGAGATCAAGAGTCGCATGCTCTGTTGACCAATCCCAGCTGGGCACACCTGATTCACTAACATTTTTGAGAATCTAATAAAATTATACATTCTGTCCTCCAAAAAGGCACCTACACATAAAACGACATCAACAATATCAGGAACTTGAGGGGTGCCTGGGTGGCTCAGTGGGTTAAGCCACTGCCTTCAGCTCGGGTCATAATCTCAAGGTCCTGGAATCGAGCCCCGCATCGGCCTCTCTGCTCAGCAGGGAGCCTGCTTCCTTCTCTGTCTGCTTCTCTGCCTACTTGTGATCTATCTCTCTGTCAAATAAATAAACAAAATATTAAAAAAAAAAAAACAATATCCGGAACTTGATCAGAGCCCTTAGGAGGTCCACACTTAACAGCTCAAGAATCCGGGCTCTAAATCTTTTTCTTTTTTTTTTTTTAAGATTTTATTTATTTATTTGTCAGAGAGAGAGAGAGAGAGAGAGAGAGAGAGAGCACGAGCAGGGGGAGGGGCAGAGGGAGAATCAGGCTCCCCGCTGAGCAGGGAGCCCAATGAGGGACTCGATCCCAGGACCCTGGGATCATGACCTGAGCCAAAGGCAGATGTTTAACCGACTGAGCCACCCAGGTGTCCCTGCTCTAAATCTTCTTGCTAAAATGAACTTGGCTTATTTCCTTAATGCATTTCTCTCTCCTCAAAGTATAACTCAATATAAAAAGACTTACCATTTCTTGATTCTTTTTTTTTAAGATTTTATTTATTTATTTGAGAGAGAGTATGAATGAGAGAGATCACAGAGGGAGAGGGAGAAGATTCCCTGCTAAGCAGGGAGCCCAACGCAGGGCTCGATCCCAGGACCCTAGCATCATGACCTGAATCGAAGGCAGATGCTTAACTAACTGAGCGGAGCCACTCAGGCTCCCTTCTTATTATTTTCAAAAAGGAAAGGTATATATGTCTGATACAAAACAATGTATCCTTTAAAAATAACTTACGCTTAGGTTTGATTCACCAAAACCCATGTAGAAATACTTAGACACACGTAACTCAAACACCCAACTCCCCTCAATCAGACAGCCCTGCCTACAAGTCAGAAGCAAGATGGAAAGAAAAAAGTGCTAAGATAATTCACTCAAGGATAAGGTCTGAGAAAATACCAAAATCTAATCTTCTAGAGAAGAATAAAGATTTCTCCATAAGGACTGGACTTTAGTTCTCTTCCTACTGCTGATGTCTCAAATCATAATTACGTTCCTGTCTCAGCAGTAAAAAGCACATGTCAAACCAGGGATCACTTCATCTGCCATGTTCTCTCCAGTCGTAACTACTGTTACTTGTTAATGCTTCTAAAACATTATTCCAGTTAAGACTCATAAGAAATCTGTGAACTCAATATAACTATTATCCTTATTTTCAGAGGAGGAGATGGGCTCAGAAAGAATGAATGGTTTTCCTGGGCCAGAGGAATGATGACTCAAATCAGGTCTAACAGCAAATCCCCTGGTCCTCCCCGTGGACCACACGGCTTCTTCAGAGGAAAGTACAGCAGCTGCTGCCTTTTACCAGAAGAGCCTGGGGCAACTGGCACTCTCCATGCCAAATATTCTTTTTTGTCCTAAGCATCCTCAAAAATATGTTGTATGAAAAAAAAATGTTGTACGGTATGATTTCCAGGGTCCGTCAGCTGTTTATTAGCTAGAAAGCCTCACTGAAGTCTACACAGAAAAAGAACATAGCTATTCCATGTTTATGGAGCAGATTCTAGCACTTCTGTACTTGGTTTCACAAATTAGTTTACACTTGCTTTTAATTTGCTTAACAAGTGTTCTTAAGATTTCTTTCACATGTGTCCCATCTGTCCAAGAATGCAGGGGCTGTGTGGGTCTGTCTCCACAGCTCTACCCCTCTGCACCCGGGACAGTGCTGAGCAGATGATCAACAACCATCTGCTGAAAAAGACCCGGGCTGGCAACCTGACGTTGCTTCCGACACTGGGAATTCAAACACTACGACTGACAGACTAGACGCAGAAAGGACTTACGCTCGGTAAGAACACAGGATAAGTACAATCAGTACCTTTCTTCCCTTCTTTCTTCCCCTCAGGCCATTTCAGTCTTGTTGGTGTCATCGTGACAGCCAGAGAGCCGGAAAAAAACTGTAACAAGAACATTTTATAGTGGCTTAAATCTGCTAATGTCATTCCTACGGACAGACTTTACTAACAGAATTATTTGCTTGTTCAATTTCCATGTGAAGAGTTTTACTGAGGCTGATTATATTTATATATCATTAGTTTAACTGACTTTATTGCTGGCCGCAATATGAAGCCGCATGTGCGGCGCCCCTAGAAGGACTACCCAACAGATACCGCAGTGCCGGCCAGGCCCAGCTCAATGGTACCGGCCCCACAGAGTCTCCCAGCGGGAACTAGTCCCTTCAGCACTGTTTGTGGAGGTCCTTCGCTGTATTTGGCATCGCCGCATATGACTGGCTATATCCTCCTGGAACTCCACGTGTTTGTTTTGACCATCAGCATAAATGAAAGGATTTAGAAAAAGGCACCAGAGAAACACAGTAAAACAAGCGACAGTATATCAATATTTCTCCTTTCTACAAATGTACACAAAGAGGGAGGCCAAAGAACAGTATCTTACTAAGTTCATATTTTCTTTGCTGGCTCTCTTCAATTCACCAATGGCTACAGATTCCGGAGTAGGATACTTGTTTTTCTTTTCTGACATCATCTGATTTCCCAGGACCTTCCGCTGATTTAGGAAGAGAAAATATGTGATTTATAAAGATCTATTATATCTGTATTGTAGCTAAACTGGCTGGTCTTTAAATCTATAGTTTCTTAGTTTAAAAAAATTTCAGAATTCAAATAAATTTCAGATTTCTGATAAATTCTCCCAGGCCGTCTTATGCAAGGGAGGCCAAAGCACATTACAAAAAATCCTGAAATCATTGCCTTCCTTTAGGTGATCCCTTTTCCTCTACATTTGAAATACCTGAAATATAAGAAAGTTTTACAGTTGATTTAAACTAGCTAATGCAGGCAAGTTACAGTGTGCTTCTAAGACCATTAAAAAATAAAAAAAAAACAGTTACTTAGCAATATAATTTTTTTAAAAGTTTTATTTATTTGACAGAGAGAAAGAGCACAAGCAGTGGTAGCAGGAGAGGGAGCAGCAGCCTCGCCGCTGAGTAGGGAGCCCGATGCGGAACTCGACCCCAGGACCCTGAGATCATGACCAGAGCCAAAGGCAGAGGCTTAACCCACTGAGCCACTGAGGCGTTCCTAGCAGCATAATTTTTCCCCCAAAGATGTGTCATCCCTGGCAGCTGTTAAGAGCCCCCTCCCCACTCAGGGATACTTCTGCTAGGCCCACTCTAAGTCGGCTTCCCTGTCATGTCTTTGCACAGGATTAGAAAACTTGGAGAAAGTCTTTAAGAGTTTCTAATATAGCACAAGAGCGTACAGGCCATCTTAAGGGGGTCACGTGACCATACTGTCATTCAGAGCACGACTAAAATCGCTTTCATCTCTGAACAGCTTAGAAGCTGACATAACCTACTGCAATGGCTGATAGCGACAATTCTACCATCTTTGGGGAAATCTTCCCTTTTTTCTTCTTAGAGAATAAGTTTAAATCCCCAGAAAAGAACTTAACAAAACTAGAACATGAAACTCTGCAATATAAATCTTAGCAGCAATTTTTTAAAAAATTAGTTACTTATTTATTTGACAGAGAGAGACAGCGAGAGAGGAACACAAGCAGTGGGAGTGGGAGAGGGAGAAGCAGGCTTCCCAAGGAGTGGGGAGCCCAATGCAGGCCTCGATCCCAGACGCTGAATGACTGAGCCACCCAGGCACCCCTAGCAGCAATATTAAGAATATTCCAATATAGGGGCACCTGGGTGGCCCAGTGGGTTAAAGCCTCTGCCTTCGGCTCAGGTCATGATCCCAGGGTCCTGGGATCGAGCCCCGAATTGGGCTCTCTGCTCTGCAGGGAGCCTGCTTCCTCCTCTCTCTCTCTGCCTACTTGTGATCTCTCCCTGTCAAATAAATAAATAAAATCTAAAAAAAGAATATTCCAATATAATAAATTATTTACATGAGAGAAATTCTGGAGGAAAAAGTCTAGCCCAAAAAAGGGATCAAAGAAGAATATAAATCAAATAGCTAAAACACAGAAATGCTGGAAAAATGAGACCACTACATCTTCCTTTCAGAAATCAGCTATCACCTCAGAGTAAGCTCAAATGGGGATGTCAGGAGCCACAGGGCCGGCTATAAAGTTTCTAATGAACATTTTTTAAAAAGATTTTATTTATTTATTTGAGAGAGAGAAAGAGCAAGAGAGAGCACAAACAGGGAAGAAGGAGAATAAAGGAGAAGAGGGAGAAGTGGGTTCCCCACCTGAGCAAGGAACCCCATGTGGGGCTCCACCCTGAGATCATGACCTGAGTCAAGGCAGCCACCCAACCAACTGAGACACCCAGGAGCGCCTCCAATGAACTTTCACTTTTTTCCTTTTTTTTCTTTTTTAATGTGATGTTAGTCACCACACAGTACATCATTAGTTTTTGATGTAATGTTCCATGATTCATTATTTCCAACAAACTTTTAAAAAGACATTTCAAGGGCACCTGGATGGCTTAATTGGTTAAGCATCTGACTCTTGGTTTTGACTCAGGTCTTGATCTCAGGGTGGTGAAATCGAGCCCCACGTAGGGCTCTGCACTCTGCAGAATCTGTTCAGTGCAAAATCTGTTGGAGATCCTCTCCCTCTTCCCCTCCCCCAGCTCTTGCACTCTCTCTCTGAAATAAATAAAATCTTTAAAAAAAGGAGGAAAAAAAAGGAAAGTATCTCCTTAAAAAAAAAAAGACATTGCATTACACTATCACTATTGAGCAAAAACAATTATCTATTAATAGCTCAAAAGTTTCTTCATTCATAATGAAAATATCCTGTTTCATAAAATTCGTTAACATTTATATTTAAAATTACTGTTCTAAAATGTCTTATACTGATAGAATTATAAGCTCTTGTATAATTCTAAAGTCCTAAATCCTCTCTCCATAAAGAAACGGGCAGCTGCCAAGAGGATACTCCATATTCACATTTCAAGCCACACTAGGCAATACATCTAGAGCCACTGCAGAACTTTCTTTCACTAGGATGAAAAAACTATACCCCTCTAGCTTCAGTTAAAGAAATATTTGACTAATAACTTTTTAGTTTATTTGACTAATAACTTTCTTGTTATCAATCAGCTCAATGACAGGAAGTCAGAAACAATGACAGACTTCCAAGTAAAATGAACCAACAAGGATATTCATTTTATGAACTACATGTTGCAGGTGAATATACTGCTAGGGTTCTAGAAAAATAAATGACTTTTTAATTATAGTAAAATATATATAATACAAAACTTACCATTTTAGCCATATTAAGTGTATAGTTGAGCAGCATTAATTCCATTCACACTGTTGTGCAACCATCACCACCAGCCATCTCCAGAACTTTTTCATCTCCCCAATAGAACCTGGGTACCCACTAGACAATAATTCCCAATTCCCCCCATACTCTTAGCCCCTGACAACCACCATTCTACTTTCTTTCTCTATGAATTTGACCATTCTAGTTATCTCATATAAGTGGAATCATATAGTACTTGTTCTTTGTGACTGGTTTATTTCATTTAACATAATGTCCTCAAGGCTCATCGATGTTGTAGTATATGTTAGAATTTCCTTTCTTTTTAAGGCCAAATGATATTCAATTGCATGTATATACAATATTTTGTTTATCCATTCACCTGTCAATAGATACTTGGAGTGGCTTCCACTTTTCACTTACTGTGAATAATGCTGCTACAAACATAGGTGTGCAAACATCTGTTTATGTCCTTGCTTTCAATTCTTTTGGGTGCATACCGATAAGTGGAACTGCTGAATATTTAATTTTTTGAGGAACTGCCATCCTGTTATCCATGACAGGTACACTGTTTTACATTCCCACCAACAGCACATGAGGGTTTCAATGTCTCCACATCCCCACCAACACGTGTTATTTTCTGGCTTTTTCCATAATAGTCATCCTACTGTGACTTGCTATCTCACTGTGGTTTTCATTTGCATTTTCCTAAAGATTAAGTGATACTGAGCATCTTTTCATTTGTACATCTTCTTGGGAGAAATGTCTAAGTTCTTTGCCTATTTTTTAATTTTTTTTTTCTTGTTTTTGTAAGAGTTCATTATATATTCTGGACCTTAACTCCTTCTCAGACATGTCTTACAAATGTTTTGTTCCATTCTGTGAGTTGTCTTTTCATTCTGTTGATCACAAAGGAAATTTTGAGGGTAAGCAAGACTAATGCCTCAGAGGCTACTGGCCCCCACAGAATTGAGAGTGAATTCTAAACTTCTATTAATGATAATAGCTAAGACCAAAATGAGATTTAGATAATGTAGCAATGGTTAATAACTGCAGCTTAAAGAAAAAATATATATATTAATTTTATTTTTCATTTTAATCAGAGCTCCTTACTCTTGCTGGATTTATAGATTTTAATAATGTTAAAACAATTTTAAAAAGAAAAACAGCAGGACACAGAACGGTGCTTAATCTCTCTCCAAGTTAACCAGAACCTTGCCTTAGTTTATGCCTGAAAATTCGAACCCCATTATCATGTTATCTACTGCCATCTGATGGCAATATGCAGTAACTACAAGTTCAGATCGTCCACAAGGATGTGTAAATTGAACAAGCATAATGACGGCATCAATAGCACAGAAGCAGATATTGTACTTGTTTTAAAAAATATATTTTTAAGCAATTTGATACAAAGGAAGAGAATATACAACTGAATTAAAATGTTAAGCTTACAAAAATTTCAGCTACCTAAAACTCACTAGCCTATCGGAAAATCCATTTCCTAACCATTTCTGAAAAGTCTGTCAACTCTCTCACTTCTCCATAGCTTCTGCAAATTGTGCAGTGAACCTTGTGGCACAGAGCAAAGAACTCTCCACACTGCTCAGGAATGGGGACTCTGTCCTCAGTCCTAAAGAGAAGGAAGGACCTTTCTTTACTCTGTAATCGTACAGCCCCTTCTCCAATTTGAAACACAGCAAAATGCTGTAAAAATTAAAAATGTTTTTCTAAATTCTATCTTTATCTTCTTACAAATGAACCCTTTACAGGATCCCAAAGAATAGAAGAAAACTGTTTATGCCTAAAAAAAGTCAGACTGTTAAGCTTTCTCAAAGTCAATGCTAAAATGACAGCATGGCATACCAACCTTAATAAGGCCACTGAAGGAACGTGAACGGGCTCTTTTCTGTACCCGAGGAGTAGGAGATTCTCGCCCTGGCGTTTGGATCACAGACTGTTTATTAAACTAAGAGAAAACAAACATTTTATTATTATTTCCCCCCATCAAGAGCTAGGATTCTACGACAATCAATAGCTAAGTGTAAATATCCAGACAAGTCCAGGAATAAGTAAGTCTGTACACATATGGATTAGTAGGTTAGAAAGCAAATCTCAAAGGCAGAAATCATGTTGCCAAAAAAGTCAAAATTTATTAAATTACTCTAAGGAGATGGCACTTTATTTTCCTTTCTCTTATGTACTATAAAGTTGGAAGTATTACCCCTATTTTACAGATAAGGAAACCAAAACCCAGAGAGTTATGTAATTTGCCCACGATCTCAGCTGGTAATCAAGATTTTTTGGCAGAAAGTATCTTGGACATAGAGAGTGACTAGCACAACTAAAACAGTTCTTAATTTAAAATAAATTGCATGCAGAATAAAGAAGTTACTAAAGCTCTTTAAATGGACATCTATCATGATTGCTTGCCAGTATTATCAGAGGAAATACATCAAAATAAAAAGTGATTAATTTTATCAATATCAGCTGTCTGTTTGATAGTATCTAACATGGAGAAATGCAAGATATAAAACTGTATTATCTCTATGTGGAAAACCCAGAAGTCTCCACCCCCAAATTATTAGAATTCATATAGCAATTCAGTAATGTGGCAAGATACAGTATCAATGCATAGAAATCAGCTGCTTTCTTACACACTAACAATGAAACGGTAGAAAGAGAAATTAGAGAATTGATTCCATTTACAATAGCATCAAAAAACCATAAGACACCTTGGAATAAACCTAACCAAAGAGGTGAAGGATCTCTACTCTAGGAACTTATGAAAGAAATTTAAGAAGACACAAAACAGTGGGAAAACATTCCATGCTTGTGGATCGGAAGAAAAAACATTGTTAAAAAGTCTATGCTGCCCAGAGCAATCTATACTTTCAACGCCATTCTGATCAAAATACCAATGGCATTTTTCAAAGTGATGGAACAAACAGTCCTAAAAATTGTATGGAACCAAAGAAGACCCCAAATCGCCAAGGAAATGCTGACAAAGAAAAACAAAGCTGGGGCATCATGCTGCCTGATTTCAAGCTCTATTACAAACCTGTGATCACCAAGACAGCATGGCATTGGCACAAAAACAGACACATAGACCAATGGAATAGAATTGAGAGCCCAGATATGGACCTTCAACTCCATGGTCAACTAATCTTCAACAAAGCAGGAAAAAATATTCAGTGGAAGAAAAACAGTCCCTTCAATAAATGGTGCTGGGAAAATTGAACAGCTATATACAAAAGAATGAAACTGGACCATTCCCTTACACCATACACAAAGATAAACTCTAAATGGATGAAAGACCTCAATGTGAGACAGGGATCCATCAGAATCTTAGAGGAGAATATATGCAGTAACCTCTTTGACATCGGCCACAGCAACTTCTTTCAAGACACATGTCCAAACGCAAGGGAGACAAAAGCGAAAATGAACTTCTGGGGCTTCATCAAGATAAAAGGCTTCTGCATGGCAAAGGAAACAGTCAACAAAACAAATAAGCAACCCACAGAATGGGAGAAGATATTTGCGAATGACACTACAAAGATCTATAAAGAACTTCTCAAACTTAACACCCAAAAAACAGACAAGTCAAAAAATGGGCAGAAGACATGAGCAGACACTTCTCCAAAGAAGACATACAAATGGCTATCAGACACATGAGAAAGTGTTCTCATCATTAGCCATCAGGGAAATACAAATCAAAACCACACTGAGATACCACCTTACACCAGTTAGAATGGCAAAAATCGACAAGGCAAGAAACAACAAATGCTAGAGAAGTTGTGGAGAAAGGGGAACCCTCTTACACTATTGGTGGGAATGCAAATTGGTGTAGCCACTTTGGAAAACAGTATGGAGATTCATCAAAAAATTAAAAATAGGGGCGCCTGGGTGGCTCAGTGGGTTAAGCCTCTGCCTTCGGCTCAGGTCATGGTCTCAGGGTCCTGGGATCGAGCCCCGCATCGGGCTCTCTGCTCAGCAGGGAGCCTGCTTCCCTTCCTCTCTCTTTCTGCCTGCCTCTCTGCCTACTTGTGATCTCTGTCTGTCAAATAAATAAATAAAATCTTAAAAAAAAAAAATTAAAAATAGAGCTACCCTATGACCCAGCAATTGCACTACTGGGTATTTAGCCCAAATATACAGACATAGTGAGAAGAAGGGCCATATACACCCCAATGTTCATAGTAGCAATGTCCACAATACCCAAAATCTGGAAAGAGCTAAGATGCCCTTCGAAAGATGAATGGATAAAGAAGATGTGGTCCATATACACAATGGAATATTACTTAGCCATCAGAAAGGATGAATACCCAACTTTTGCATCAACATGGATGGGACTGGAGAAGATTATGCTAAGTGAAATAAGTCAAACAGAGAAAATCAATTATCATATGGTTTCACTTATTTGTGGAACATAAGGAAGAGCATGGAGGACACTAGGAGAAGGGAAAAATATAGGGAGAGAAATCGGAATGGGAGACAAACCATGAGAGACTATGGACTCTGGGAAATAAACTGAGGGTTTTAGAAGGGAGGGAAATGGGAGGGATGGGTGAGCCTGGTGATGGGTATTAAGGAGGGCATGGATTGCACGGAGCACTGGGTATTATACATAAACAATGAATCATGGAACACTACATCAAAAACTAATGATGTACTGTATGGTGACTTACAACACAATTTTTAAAAAACCACTGTAGGGGGGAGGGGGGTTGGGAGAGGGGGGTGGGGTTATGGACATTGGGGAGGGTATGTGCTATGGTGAGTGCTGTGAAATGTGTAAACCTGGCGATTCACAGACCTGTACCCCTGGGGATAAAAATATATGTTTAAAAAATAATAATAATAAAATTTAAATTTTAAAAAAAAAGTAAAAAATAAATAAATAAATAAAAAGAAATAAAAAACCACTGTATTGTCTTATTTAATGCTTTGATTAGCCATTCATCTCCCCAGTTAAAAAAATAATGACCTAGTACTTAATTCTTCTATATATCTGCTTTTTCTAACTATAGTTTTTAAATATGCAAATTATAATTTTACAAATTTTTATCCATTCAGATTCAGTTCTGGAGGTTTAAAAAAATGACAATTTTTATACATATTATACGGGTACCAAAAAGTTTTCAAAGTTAATTATCAGAAAATTTAGTCACTTCTAAAGAGCTTTAGAAAGCAAGCATCCCTCCTGGATATATTGAGACAACTGACAAACCATCATTTCTGATAATGTTGGCCAGGTACAATAAGAGGGGCTCTCCAGCTGGCTGGAGCATCGATAGTTTCCTAGGAAACTGTTTAGCAATATGTGTCCGGGGTCTTTTCAAAACACATACTGTAGTCCCCCTTTATTCATGATTTTGCCTTCTGAGGTTTGCTACCATAATCAACCACAGTCCAGAAGCAGATGGTCCCCCTTCTGATGTATTTTCAGAAGGTCAGTAGTAGCTTAATGCTATGTCACAATGCCTATATATCATTCAGCTCACTTCAGCTAATCACATAAGCATTTTACCATCTTTTTTTTTTAAAGATTTTATTTATTTATTTGACAGACAGAAATCTCAAGTAGGCAGAGAGGCAGTCAGAGAGAGAGGGGGAGGCAGGCTCCCCGCTGAGCAGAGAGCCCAATGGGGGGCTCGATCCCAGGACCCTGGGATCATGACCCAAGCCAAAGACAGAGGCTTCAACCCACTGAGCCACCCAGGCGCCCCAAGCATTTTATCATCTTACATCATCACAGGAAGGGTGAGTATAGTACAGTAAAATATTCTGAAAGAAAGAACACATTCACATAACTTTTATTATAGTATACTGTTATACTTGTTCTATTTATTAGTTACCATTGTTAATCTCGCACTGTGCCTAATTTATAAATTAAACTTTATTATAAGTATGTATGAAAAAAATCATACATCCATGATTTTCAGGCATATACTGGGGGGTCTTGGAATGCACCCCCCACAGATAAGGGGCAGGAACGACTGTATTAAAAAATACACACCACCTATGAAGTCCTTACTCAAAAACTAAATAAATAAATAAAACTAATTGGTATTCAGATCAAGTTTCTAGAATTGGATCTAACTACAAATTTATCATAAATACAGTGAACTGAGGAACATGTTCAATAACACCACAAGGGTGCAACCAGCAAAATCTAGACTGTGGAAAACAAACTATATGGTTTCTTTCACAAATAAAGGGCAGAGAGAGAGAGGGAGAGAGAATGTGTGAATATGTGTATTTAAATGTGATATAGTAACCTGGATTAGATCCTGGCACAGAAAAAGGGCATTAGCAAAAAAACTTCTAAAACCTGAATAAAATCTCTAACCTTAATAATAATAGACCAATGTTAATTTCTTAGTATTAACAATGTTAACATTAGGAGTAAAGGGTTCCCTTGGTAAAGGGTACGTGAGAATTCTCTGTACTATTTTTGCAATTTTTCTCTAAATCTAAATTATGTCAAACTTAAGATTATTCAAACAAACTTTGGCAATTTTTTAGGGGGAAAACAAAAAGAGGGGAGAGAAAGAAGAACCTATACATTAATAGGGACCCAATAGCTATATCCAGCAAAAAAAAAAAAAAATGCATACCCTTTGGTCATGCCACTTCTAGGAAAACTCTGCAATGAAAATTTATAAACTAAAAAAAATCTAATTCCCAAATATGTCCAATAGTAGGCAAACTGTATATACATTAGGTTATATGTGATGAAATATTACACAGCATTAAAAATGTTCACAGCCTTTTAAAGACATGGGAAATGATCATGATATAATGTTAAAAGGATGGGAATTTTAAAAACTGAATATATATTATGACCTCAAACAAAAGAAAAAAAATGTTAAATACATATATTCATGGAAAGAAAACACTCATAGAAGAAAATACTCCAAAACTTTTATCAGTGGTTATCTCAGGATGATTACAGGTGATTTTTCTTCTTTACACTCTTCTGGAGGTTGCACTGCTTCTATAGTGAATATTTACTATTCTTATAATCACAGAGAGAAAAATCAGGAAATAGTAAAATTATAGTTTCACCAAAACAAAGTGGCAGTATTTTAAATGTAGGCAAGGAGTTCACAAGGAAGCATGAGAAAATGTTTATGCTATAATGTTTAGTGAAAAAGAGAGAGAAAAGAAAGTATGTGGTATGACCCAAACTATGTCGAAATTTATTGACAGGAAAAAGTCTGAAATACCGAAAATGTAAGCCCTGGTGGGATGAATGATTTATTCTCTTCTTAACCTTCCTCATGATTTCCTATTTTTCTAAAAAGAGCAAAAATGATGTTAGTTTTTCCTTTGTATTATCTCTAACCCTCTGTTTTCTTGATGACAGAAGTCATGACACTTGGCCCTGAACAACATGTTGTCTTAGTTTCCAACAAGAATTAAATCACTACACCACTTTGAAACTGCAATAATACTCAGCCAACACCCTTGAAAATTTCAGTCATAACACGATTTGCTAAATCTCAAATTTCAAAGAGCATAACAGAAAACTTCTCTTAAAGGACTCTATCAATTGTTAAGAACAGCGCAGTTCAACATTTTTCTGAGCACACGGTTATGTCTGGTCCTATGCTTCAGATTAGGCATAAAAAAATAAAAACACAGACTTCCCTCAAGAAGGTCCAGTTGAATAAGAAGTCAAGAGGCTGACTATGCCTGTTCAGCTAAAATCCAAGAGGGACTGAGACAAAACAAATTTCCCAAGAAAGAAACTAACGAAGTCACGGGGATTTACTCAAACTACTTTAGTCTCAAAATGGCAAATGAGAGACCTAATTTTGCTTCCATTAACTCCGAAATAAACAAACTTAGCTACCAGAATTTCTACTTTCTAATATCGAACTAGGTCCCTGAATTTACACAGTGTTTTCTGACTCATTAGTAAGAACTACCACTTTTGCTCTACTGTGCCAGCCACTTTATATAGACTCTAATCCTTATATAGTCATGAAACATGGATATTTCAATTACTATTTAAAAAACAAGGAAATTGAAATCAGAAAGATTAAATTATTTGCCAAGAAAATCTGAAGGATTTAAACTTTGGAACAATATATTGCAGCTGCCGGTTCTCTCTCAGCATGCTTGGTACATGACCAAAATTAGAGAAACTCTAACCATACTTGGATCCTTCTGTTTAACTCTAAAAATCCAAGAGCCTCCACTCCTTTCTTTAATGGGACAGTAGTTCAGAGACTGCCATTGAGGTTCCACTGACAAGTCTGCTTTCCTGGCCAAGCCAAGCTTGGGCCAATAAGAGCCAAAAATTAAATGAGATTCTTAGCAGTATTCGTTAGTGATTCCACAACCTTGATCACATTCCAAAGCCCCACCACTGTTTCCCTGCCTTCGGGTACCTGTCTAATAAGTTGTTTCTTCTTTGCTGACTCTGGCATATTGTGAACATGTTGGAACAACTCTCTCAATGCCTCTTCCGTACGCTGCTGGGTCTCCTCCTGGTGAGAGCAGGAATCTACCCAATTCCGTTTCTGAGATTTTGTCAATTGGAAGGACTTTGTAGGACATGAAGCTATCAGATCAAGATCATCCTAGAGAAAATTTAAAAAGAAAAGCAAATTAATATATCCTGCCAGCTTTGTTTTCAGGTTTCTACAACCCTGAAACAAAAAAGGAGGAAGAAGTGGGGAGCATAGTATGCTCATACCTAGGAATAAGAAAAAATTTAAATAGAATTATCACATGAAAAGAAACCTATTAATTACAGGCTATAGTAATAGCCCACTCCCAAAAATCTGCCTAGAGAACCTAAATTTATTTAGAATATTGCTACTGCAGGACACCTGGGTGGCTCAGTTGGTTAAGCGCCTGCCTTCAGCTCAAGTCATGATCTCAGGGTCCTGGGATCGAGTCCCACATCGGCCTCCTTGCTCAGTGGGGAGCCTGATTCTCCCTCTGCCTGCCTCTTCCCCTGCTTATGCTCGCTCACTCGCTCGCTCTCTCTCTCTCTTCTCTTTCTTTCCCTGATAAATAAAGTCTTTAAAGAAAAAAAGAATATTGCTACCAAAAATTATATTTATGTAAGAGTACAATTTTCAAGGATGCCTGGGTGGCTCAGTGGGTTAAGGCCCCTGCCTTCGGTTCAAGTCATGGTCCCAGGGTGCTGGGATTGAGCCCTGTGTCGGGCACTCAGCTCAGCGGGGAGCCTGCTTCCCTTCCTCTCTCTCTGCCTGCCTCTTTGCCTACTTGTGATCTCTGTCTGTCAAATAAATAAATAAAAATCTTAAAAAAAAAAAAGGAGTTCAATTTTCAAAGCATCTTTCAATTACACGTGACTCTCACTGCTTTCCTATAAGGTAGCAGGGAAAGTAACATTTCCATTTGATAGGAGAAAAAATTGAAGTTAAGCCCTAAGTTTAAAGTCATTTAGATACTAACGCGATGGAGCCATCTGGAGACCAAGTGCAAAGGCTCTTGGCTGGTGCTCTTTCCTCCCTCCAGAATATGATGGGATAACTACATAAGAGTGTTTGGAGGGAAAGAAACAACTCTCTAAGAAAAGCTACATTGCAGTTAAACTAGTTGACTAGCTGCAATTATACTGTTTTCCTGGTCACACCAAATATTTACTGAATGAAAAGCGGAAAGAAAGAGGAGCAGACACAAGAGCCTAAGATGACAGCGTAAGTTCCTAACCAAGAAAGGCTAAATAGAGATCATCAAAAAGTACTTGTGAAGTTTTTTAAACTGCTCAGTTTTGAAGCTTAATAATTATATAGTCTTATTTTTTTAAAAAAGATTTTATTTATTAATTTGACAGAGAGAGAGTACAAGCAGGGAGAGCAGCAGAGGGAGAGGGAGAAGCAGGCTTCCCGCTGAGCAGGGAGCCCGATGCGGGATCCCAGGACCCTGGGATCACGACCCAAGGCAAAAGCAGAGGCTTAACCATCTGAGCCACCCAAGCACCCCTATAGTCTTATTAATAAATACCACACATTTGCTTTCTAAACCCCTGTGGTCTCAAGTCTTTGAGACATTTGACAGAGTGTTACCACTGAACCTGAAACAAGAATGTATTATAGAAAACCGTGATTTATTGCTGTAAAATATTTAATACATTTGCTATTTACAGCCTGTTTATATCGTATGCTATAAGAATGCACAGGGGGTGAGGGGCACCTGGGTGGCTCAGTCATTGGGCATCTGCCTTTGGCTCAGGTCATGATCCTGGCGTCCTGGGATCGAGCCCCATATCTGGCTCCCTGCTTGGCATGGAGCCTGCTTCTCCCTCTCCAGCTCCCCCTGTGCTTGTATTCCCTCTCTCACTATCTCTCTCTGTCACAAATAAATAAAATCTTTAAAAAAAAAAAAATGCACAGGTGCTTTATGGAACCCTTTAAGCATGCAGTCTACACCATCACTCATATGTATAGGATACCATCCAGCAGTGGTGCATCTCTGAGAGGAAACAAGATGACTATGTGGGGGCACTCTTATTTCAACATGTAACTTTCATCTCAGTCTTTCTCCTTATCTCAAACTGACTAGATAACTTTGAACTATAACAGTAATAATATTTTGGGGCGCCTGAGTGGCTCAGTCGGTTAAGCATCTGCCTTCGGCTCAGGTCATGATCCCATGGTTCTAGGATCGAGCCCCACATCGGGCTCCCTGCTCAGCAGGAAGCCTGCTTCTCCCTCTCCCACTCCCCCTGCTTGTGTTCCTTCTCTTGCTGTCTCTCTCTCTTTCTCTCTCTGTGTCAATTAAATAAATAAAGAAAATCTTTAAGAAAAACAAAAAACAGTAACAACATTTTATTTTCCATGTTCCAAAAAACATTTATTTTCCATTTTTATTTCCCATTTGCCTTTACTCTGATTTCACACTTTGTTTTAAAAACTCCACTAATCGTAATTAACTCTCTCATTGTTTGGGCTAAGATCAATTTCCTATTCTTACCTTTGATGCTTGAGTTCTGGAGCCCAAATAGTGCAATCTGGCACATTCCCGAATATAAACAGGAGCCTGGGCAGGATATAAAAAGAAAACCAAGAACGAGTAGTTAGCAGTATCTAAAATTCTTTCAGACCACAAGAATAGTGATTCTTGAAATAATCTGACTGGCAGATTATTTCAGAAAATCAAAAGATCCTTAAAATGCCCTATTCCATAGCTTCCTTTCTCTTGCCACCAAATGGCATCTCAACAGTTTTCTGATAGGAAAACTGTTTTTGAAAAGATACTACTATAGTTTAAAAAATCAAATATGGCATGAATATACTCAAATGAGCCAGAAACAAAAATACAGACATTTGTAGTAATGTTTATCTTTGACAAAAACTACCCCAAAAGGGGCACTTTGGTGGCTCAGTCGGTTAACAGGCAGCTCTTGATTCCAGCTCAGGTCACAATCTCAGAGACTTGGGACTAAGCCCATGTGGGGCTCCGAGTTCAGTGGGGAGTCTGCTTGAGTTTCTCTCCCTCTGCCCCTCCACATTCACACATATGCTCTTTCTAAAGAAAGAAATCTTCAAAAAAAAAAAAAACCTTACAAATTACAAGTGGTCCCTAAGTCACATTTTAAAATCATTGTACAGAAAATACCATTTAGAATTACTATGGGAAATAAGAAAGAATAGAGGGAGTAAGGGACAGAAGAAATACTTTATGAACTAACAGGAGAAATTTCCAGTATCTACTGTTGAGTGAGACAAGTTCGAAACAGTATATAAAGTACCTGTGTAAGAAAGAAGAGGAAATAGGAACATACATACACATACACACTTATTTATTTTTACAAAAAGAAACACAAGGGGCGCTTGGGTGGCTCAGTGGGTTAAGCCTCCGCCTTTGGCTCAGGTCACGATCCCAGAGTTCTGGGATCAAGCCCCGCATCAGGCTCTCTGCTCAGCAGTGAGCCTGCTTCCCCCCATCTCTCTCTCTCTGCCTGCCTCTCTGCCTACTTGTGATCTCTGTCTGTCAAATAAATAAAAAAAATCTTAAAAAAAAAAATTAACTAATCATTTCTTTTTAAAAAGAATTTTAAGAATTTTAATCTACTTCTTGCCCTCACAGAGCCTAAAAGCAATGATACTCCAGAAACAATGAGTGTAACTAGTGTCACTCAAAGAAACCAGGGCTCCTTGAAGAAAATAAGTGATTCCAGGCCCAGGGCAGAACAAATGCAAAGTGAGCTGGGGACATTTTTATGCCAGGAAGGAAACAGATTAATGGAATCCTGTCAAAAAGACACAGCAGGAAGAGCTTGCCAGGGCTCTCACTGGCCAAATCTGAGACAAGTTGAAAATTAAAATTAACTGAAATTGACTAAGACTTGGAGTAACTACAAGCCTATGAGTCTATAGAGATGTTCGTTGAAACTGAGGAAAGGAAAGCTCTCTTCCAAAGAAAAAAGTCAACTAATAAAAATTAAACAGTAGAATTAGAAAACCACTGTTTTGTAATACCCAATATAATCATAGATTCCAACAGGATTATCAATGGATGCTAAAATCATTACATTAGGTAATCACCCTGCAGGTTACTTACTAATTGCGAAGAGAAAAGTATACCTTTATAACTGAGAGATGTGGCAGTTAGCAAAATTAGCGTTCCTGAGAGGGAGACAATCTGACATCCTGCGCCTCCTAATGTGATGCAATCTGACGCAATACGGTGTACACAAACACTATCTGTGAAGCTTCGCCAAATACGTTTAACGTGAATCTAACCAAGCCTCTAGACCTAACTTACAGTTTACAAGAACTACAAAAAAAGGGGACAGAGAACATGTCAAATAACCTTGAGAAAACAATAAGACAAATTTAGGATATGGAATATTCTATAACTCAACTGGCCTGAATGCGTCAACAAATCAATGACATGAAGGAAAAGCATCAGGACTGTTCCAGATTAAAAGTGTGATAATCAGGGGCACCTGGGTGGCTCAGTGGGTTAAAGCCTCTGCCTTCAGCTCGGGTCATGATCCCAGAGTCCTGGGATGGAGCCCCACATCAGGCTCTGTTCAGCAGGGAGCCTGCTTCCTCCTCTCTCTCTCTGCCTGCCTCTCTGCCTACTTGTGATCTCTCTGTCAAATAAATAAATAAAATCTTTAAAAAAAAAAAAAAAAAAAGAAAAGTGTGATAATCAAAAGCAATACATAAACCTCCATTACCTTATGTTATTAAAAACAGCAGCTATGAAATACACTCTTAGGATTTACTGGGGGAATTTGAATCTGTACTGAATATTAGCTAATATGCAATTCTTATTAATCTTCTTAGGATAATGGTACTGTGACTATTAGGAGAATGTTCGCAGGAGATGCATGCTTCAGTATTTATATATGAAGTATTCAATGTCTGCAATTTACTATCAGGGGTTCAGCCAAAAACAAAACAAAAAAAAATATATGGAATAAGATAAAGCAGATATGGCAAATGGTAACATTTGTTGAACCTCAGAACAGTGAGTGTTCACTGTTTTACAACTTTTATCTGTATTTGAAAAACTTCAGAACGAAGTTTTAAAAAAAGAGTCTTGAGACAAAAACCTTAAGACACCTACAGTTCAATTTTCTTTTTAAGATTTTATTTATTTATTTGACAGAGAGACAGCAAGAGAGGGAACACAAGCGGGGGGAGTGGGAGAGGGAGAAAGAGGCTTCCCGCCAAGCAGGGAGCCCGACACAGGGCTTGACCTGAGCTGAAGGCAGACACTTAAAGACTAATTTAATTTTTACCTTGGTAAACTATAAAGGCAGAGCTCAAAACCAAAAGAAATTTCCTCCAAACAAGACTATGACAGAGCCCATACCCACTTATTCTACGAAATTCACTTTAAAAAAAAAAAACAGGTGTCTGGTGGCTCAGTCAGTGGAGCATGCGACTTTTGATTTTGGGGTTGTGAGTTCAGGCCCCATGTTGGGTGTAGAGATTACTTTTTAAAAAGTTAAATTTAAAAAAAAAGAAAAAAGAAAAACAGCTCTGCCCCCAAAAGACACTCTCTCTAAAAACAAAGCAAAACATGGGGTGCCTGGTGGCTCAGTTGGTTAAGCATCCACCTTCAGCTCAGGTTAGGATCCCGGGGTCCTGGGATCGAGCCCCACATTGGGTTCCTTGCTTAGCTAGGAATCTTCTTCTCTTTCTCCCTCTGCCCCTCCCCCCACTCATGCTCTCTCTCAAAACCTTTAAAAAAATAAAATATAATAAAAACAAAATAAAACAAAAAACATACTTTGTCCTGTGTCTACTGTTCTTTTTTTTTTTTTTTTTTTAGATTTTATTTATTTATTTGACAGAGATCACAAGTAGGCAGAGAGGCAGGCAGAGAGAAAGGGGAAGCAGGCTCCCTGCTGAACAGAAAGCCCGACGCGGGGCTCGATCCCAGGACCCTGAGATCATGACCTGAGCTGAAGGCAGAGGCTTAACCCACTGAGCCACCCAGGCGCCCCCTTTGTCTACTGTTCTAATCCACTTATCTAGATCTTGACCTCTAATGGATGAAAATCTTTGACCTGAGCACCCAAACCTGTGATGCAGCCCTCTGTGTGCCAGCCTACTAAGATTCTGATTTTTCATTTCTAAACTCTGGACTCTGGATCACTCACCATCCTACAGTCAATAAATCCTAGGATGGCCTCTATGTTCACACCCTGCATTTACTACAAAACTATAGTCATCACAATAGTATGTTACCGGTATAAAGACAAACATATAGACTAACTGTATAGAACAGAGAGTCCAGAAATAAACCCTCACATATATGGTCAAATGAGTTTCAATAAGAATGCCAAGACTATTCAATGGAAAAAGGACAGGTTTTCAACAAATGATGCTGGGAAAACTAGATATCCATAGCAAAAGAATAAGGCTGGACACTTACTTAATACCATATAGGAAAATTACCTCAAAATAGATCATAACCTAAATATAAGGCCTAAAACTGTAAAAAAAAATTTTTTTAAAGCATACAACAAAAGCTTTGCAGCACTGGATTTGGCAGTGATTTCTTAGATGTGACACAAAAGGCACAGTCAACAAAAGGAAAAATATAAACAAATGGGAGACTTCACAAAAAATTTTCAATTTTGTGTACCAAGACTCTATTAACTGAGTAAAAAGGCAACCCACAGAATGGGAGGCAATATTTGCACATCATACATCTATCCAGATATATATAAAGAACTCCTACAACTTAACAATAAAAGAGCAACCCAATTTAAAAATGGGCAAAGGCCTTGAACAGACATTTCTCCAAAGAAGACAAGCAAACAAGCAATAAGCACGTGAGAAGATGCTCATTGACTCACGAATCATTAAGGAAATGCAAATCAAAACTACAATGAGGGACGCCTGGGTGGCTCAGTTGGTTTAGCAGCTGCCTTCAGCTCAGGTCATGATCCCAGCGTTCTGGGATCGAGTCCCACATTGGGCTCCTTGCTCGGCGGGGAGCCTGCTTCTCCCTCTGCCTCTGCTGCCACTCAGCCTGCCTGTGCTCACGCGCTCTCTCTCTGGCAAATAAATAAATAAAATCTTAAAAAAAAAAAAAAAAACTACAATGAGATACCACCTCATAACTATCACCAAAAAAAAACAAAATAACAAAATAACTGTTGGTAAGGATGTGAACAAATGGGAAATCTTGTACATCACTGGCAGGAATGTAAAATGTCGCTATAGAAAACAGTATGGCAGTTCAGTGAGAATTACCATGTAATCTAGCAATTCCACATCTAGATACCCAAAAGAATTAAAAGTAAAAGCAGTGTCTCGGGGCACCTGGGTGGCTCAGTGGGTTAAAGCCTCTGCCTTCGGCTCAGGTCACGATCCCAGGGTTCTGGGATCCAGCCCCGCATGAGGCTCTCTGCTCGGCAGGAGCCTGCTTCCTCCTCTCTCTCTGCCTGCCTCTCTGCCTACTTGTGATCTCTGTCTGTCAAATGAATAAATAAAATCTTAAAAAAAAAAAAAGGAGTGTCTCAAAAAAGATATTTGTATACCCATGTTCATAGCAGCATTATCCACAGGAGCTAAACATGGGAGCAACCCAAGTGTCTCAACAGATAAATGATAAGCAAATGTGATATACACAATGAAAGGGATATTACTGATCCTTAAAAAAGGAAGGAAATTCTGACAAATACTACAACGTGGATGAACCTTGAAAACATTCCAAGAGAAATAAGCTAATCACAAGAAGTGTGATTCTACTTATATGAAGAACTTAGTCAATTCTCTCTCAATTCTCAGCTTTTCCAGTTGGCAAGACACTAAAATTGAGAAACTCACTATCAGGAAAGTTTGCTCTACAGAAAAAACCAGGAATATGACTGTGCAACTTTTTGTTTGAATCTTAGAAAATCAAAAGGTCAAAATTTCCAGTCATACAAAGGGCCCTTTCAAGAGAATAAAGATTGTCTCAATCAAATCAGAGGGCCTCTAGAAAGCAGAAAAGGTATTCCTCATTCTCCTCAGCAGGAGACCATGGTAGAAAAGGGTTTGTCTTCAAAAGATCTGTATATGTGGGTTTTGTCTAATGGAGTGACTCCCTCTGAAATCCACAGAACCACAAAGTTGAGAAAATTATGTGGCCAGAAATATTGACAGTTTGGACTAAAAGGGACAAAGTACAAAATGAAAAGAGATTGTCAGACCCTCAAAACCCTACTGGCAGGAAGCAGGCAGGATAAACTTACCCAACTGCCAATACACACTGGCTTTCATGAAAAAGGAAAAATGACTCAGTGGAGCCAATTAACCTACTCAGCCTCCAGATACCTTCCTATTCCTCCCCACCTTGGCCGTTTTCTCTGGGTTTTGCCACTGTCCAACCTGGTTTCAAGTCCCAATCAGGACCTTTTTGGTTGTCATCCTTATATCCCTGATGAGAATCCCACCATGCTTCAACCTCCTTATCTTGTTACCACCCAAATCCCATCCCTTACTTACCTTAAAAAGTTTCTGGGAGTGTTTAATCATAAAAGCCATCCCATTGTTTAACTTTGTGATATTTTCTTGAAGGTCATTTGCAGTGACCTATTCAGAGGAAAAAAAATCAAAAGAGGGGGATTAAGAGCTGGGAAATGGGGGCGCCTGGGTGGCTCAGTGGGTTAAAGCCTCTGCCTTCAGCTCCGGTCATGATCCCAGGGTCCTGGGATCATGCCCCACATCAGGATCTCCGCTCAGGGGAGAGCCTGCTTCCTCCTTTCTCTCTTTCTGCCTGCCTCTCTGCCTACTTGTGATCTCTATCTGTCAAATAAATAATAAATAAAATCTTAAAAAAAAAAAAAAAAAGAGCTGGGAAATGGAAGAGATACTCCATTTACTTACCAATAAGCTTATTTTTTCAAAGATACAGTGGCTTTTTTTCCCTAACAACAGTGCTTCTAATATAATGTTTAATTCTGGAAAGGCCTTTTGGTTCAGCAGGTTTCTACTGAAAATGACATAACCTAGGAGAAACCAGGTGTCCCTGAAGTTACCAAATAATCCTTGAAAAACAATCTTTGTTTCCTGATTCTGCTCGAGAATTATACATGCAAGCAGAGCTGCTAAAGAGAATCTAATCTGGGATTCAAAATGGGCAGGAAGAACAGAATCTATACCAATCATCAAGGACACTGCCTCTTCAGAGAAACTGGAGTTTCTCCAAAAGGTGAGAGAACTGTCACTACTAGTTGATACCAAAGGTGACATCTGTTTCTTAAAAACACATACAGTCATTGATTTTCTTCTTGTTTCTCCTGCCTCTAAAAAAGAGCACTTGAGCATCTCTACTATCCCAAAGCCCTCATATCTCTGTTACTTAATCTGTTTGCTGTTACCAAGATCTCTTAATATTTTTCTATAGGCAGAGATTACTCACTTTTTTCATAGTTTCAGTTGGCTGGTTCTAAAATTCTTTCATTAGGAGGCTTGACCTCCTTAATACAGACAAATGTTGGTGTGTCCTTTTATTCTTACCCACCTTCCCCAAAACCTTTGTCTGGGTAGAGGTTCTTCCTGGCCTGGAAGATCACATTTTTTTCACTCGTTACTTGTTATGTAAAATATTCCATACTACTCCTTTCCCTTTTTTTTTTTTTTTTGGTAAAGTAAACTCCATGAGCCCATTGTGTGGCTGGAACTCAGGACCCCAAGATCAAGTTTCAGCAAGCTCTACTGACTGAGCCAACCAGGCATTCCACAACTGCTCTCCTTAATCTTCCTTTTCTCATTTTTTATAATCCCAAAAATCTTTTATAAGTCACCATATCTTAACTATTTCTAGTCCAACAACCTTATGAGATAAGTGATAAAGTACTAATTTATGCCCAATTTACAGAGGAAGAGCCTAAGTATAAAAAGGGCAAAGGATGGGCACCTGGGTGGCTCAGTGGGTTAAGCCTCTGCCTTCGGCTCCAGTCATGATCTCAAGGTCCTGGGATCAAGTCCCGCATCAGGCTCTCTGCTCAGCGGAGAGCCTGCTTCCCCCTCTCTCTCTGCCTGCCTCTCTGCCTACTTGTGATTTCTCTGTGTGTGTGTCAAATAAATAAAATCTTAAAAAAAAAAAAAAAGGGAGGGGGCAAAGACACAGATAATATAGCTGGTTTGCAACTTCCAACCCAAATATTCTGGCTTCCAATTCCATCATGAATAAAACCCACATTATGAATGGGCAGGAACAGGGGCACCTGGGTGGCTCAGTCAGTTGGGCATCTGCCTTGGCTCAGGTCATGACCCCGGAGTCTCAGGATTGAGCTCTGCATCAGGTTCCCTCCTCAGCTGCAAGTCTGCTTGTCCCTCGCCCCTCACCCTGCTCATGTTCCCTCCCTGCTTCCCTCTCTGTCAAATAAACAAATAAAATCTTAAAATACATAATATATAAAAAATATATCTCATATATATATCATATATATGGGCAGGAACATATATATGATATATATACAGGCAGGAACATAAAGCTACATGCCTCCAGGTCAAAAATGAGTTCAAAAGACTTTTATAATTTATTTCTCACTTAAGTCACTGAGAAAGCCATGGTCTCAGTAATAAAAAACACATTCAGCTTTTTCCAAGGAAAGCATATCTACAAGAAATAGAAAAGTCAGGATAAGGCAGGATTGTTCTATATCATCTTACCTAAAAGCTTAGTGACATTATCCTGTAAAACTGTATGGTTCTAGTCTAAATTTATACTACACAATCTTCAGAAATCAATCTAATTTTTCAAAAGCCTTTCCTGTTAAGAAGGAATATACAGTGACCAGCCAAAATGAGTATTCTAGTTTAGTTAGTAGCTATAATTTTCTACTAAGAGCTTCCATTAATAAATGATCTTTCAAATTTATCAGAGATTGATTTATACATGAGGTTACAAGAATTGGCCCCTTCAAGTTTAATGACTCCCAAATGAAATAACAAAGTATGTCCCTAACATTGTAAAGCTGAAGAGTAGACCTTGGACCCTTGATAACCTCACCAAGGTACAGCCCCAGGATGAGGCCAAGCCCAAGAAAACCAAGCAATCTTTGCTCTTCCCCTCAACACTCACATTTTTCGGCCACAGGACATGGGGTGCAAACATAAGGGCAAGGTTATAGGCAGACATCTTATTCTTGTCTTGTTTCTTTGCTGTCTGGTACAGGAGATCAAGCAATAACTTCAGCAAGTTACGATTGGGTGGAGGGAGAATGAGGAAGAGCAACTGGAGAGCCTCAATTTGCCGCTCCTTATCTGGAACATTGGTCTTGTTTCCTTTATCATCAAACTGCATCAAATCTTGAGGACAAAAGAAATGATTGCAAAGGAGGGAGAAAATACAAGGAAGAAAAATCAACATGCCTACTATTATCCTCCCCTCAACTCCAATCCAAAAAAGGATGAAAAAAAGAATCAGGCATAAACACAGATTATAGCAAAATATAATAGTGTCAGTATTCCATAATAAAAAAATAAATTAAAAAATTTTTAAATAGGCAAAAGACTTGAATAAACATTCCTCCAAAGAAGATATACAAATGGCCAAAGCATTTGTATATTCTATATCACTAGCTATCAGGGAAAAGTAAATTAAAACCACAATGAGATACTACTTTATACCCACTAGTATGGCATAACCAACAAAAAATAACAAGTGTTGGCAAGAATGATGAGAAAATTAAACCCTCCTACATTGCTGGTAGGAACGTAAAATGGTGCACTTTGGAAAACAGTTTGGCAGTTCCTCAGAAAGCTAAACATAGTGTTACCATATGACCCAGCAATTCCATTCCTAGAAAAATATTCTTAGGGATATAGAGAAACGAAAACATGTCCACACAGATCTTTGACAATGCCACCCCCTCACTTTTCCTTACCCAGATATTTTACTGTTAGAAGAAATATGACAATGAATTATGCGGGGATAGGAGGATGATCCACACAGCTCCCCCATAGAATCAGAATCACTGTTTCTCCCCAAAGAAGCTACACACGTTATTGATAAAAACAGTCCCCTTGATAATCAGAACTTCAAAGGACACAAATAACCATTTGGATAAAATTCCAAATCCTGAAAATGATTATGCTGTGTTGTTTAAACTATTTAACTTCAATAATAATTCCAAGTTTAGAAATGGCAGATAATATTTCTAAAAACTATTCTCTGTTAACATGAAACTGAAAACAAAAATCCCTTCCAGTTATCAGCAAGGCATACCAAATGCTACAATTGTGCCACACCTCAATATGATCACAAGGAACAGTGAGTCATGGGGTGGGGGAGCTGAGGATTTCAAATATTGCACTAAATTAACTCAACAGAAAAGTGAACAGGATAAGCATTCTTCATGTTAACACTTATAAAAAAAGTAACAGTATTTTCTATATCTTTTTCGAGATCCAACTTTATTTCTCTCCAAAATAATTATAAAGTTATATAACATTCTAATAGTATTTATTCATTTGTATAATTCAGATTACCACTGAGAGTGCTAAAAAACAAATCTACCCTTCTGAGATTTTACAATTCAAAGCTAGTTTTTTAAGTAGTAAAAATTAGGGACACCTGGGTGGCTCAGCCACCTGAAAGTTTGCCTTCAGCTCGGGCAGTGATCCCAGAGTCCTAGGATCCCAGGCTCCTTGCTCAACAGGAAGTCTGCTTCTCCCTCTGCCTGCAGCTCCCCTGGTTTGTGCACTCTCCCTCCCTCCCTCTCTCTCTCTGACAAATAAATAAATAAAATCTTAAAAAAAAAAAAGTAGTAAACATTACTCAACAGAAAAACTTGTATTTTCCTTAAAATTAGAAAGAAAGAGGAAAATGGCCAAGGGCAGAAACCAAGTAAATGCAGTACGGATTTTGATGCCCCATGCTCTGAGTGTCTATAGCAACCTAAGAGCTGTGCAGTCTAAGAATGAATTCCCCACTGCACAAACATAAAAGAGAACGAGGGAAATATGAGCTGAAAATGGAACAGCCACGAGAGAAAAAGAATATATGTATTTGTTTGTAAATGTGTAAAATACCTCTGAAAGGATACACTAAAAATCAATTGCCTTGGTTGCCTCCAGGAAGAAAAACTGGGTATTGGGAAACAGAGGTGGGAGAGGGGCTTTTTGCTGTATACTTTTATGAATCTTTTGAATTTTGAACCGTGTGAGTGTACTGCTTATTTAGAAAACAAAATTATTTTCAAGAAACAAGTTTCCAAGATTACAGATGATCTCAACTGAGCCATAGTAAGACTTAGCTAAAGCCCCAAACCACTGCAAATATAGCAAACCTGCAACCATCTCAGGTACGTGAATCAATCCACAGAAAAGCATTCATTTATTAAGCAACTAAAATATTCAAAGCACAATGCTTTGTGATCCATCTTGTATCTCTGACTCATCAGGGATACAAGAATAAATAAAATCCAGAATTTATCATCAAAGAAGCTGATTTAACAAGAAAAACACCTGAAAACCTAATTAGCCAATACTACCCAGAGAGCCCAAAATATCATTAAGTCTTAACCAATTTTGGCAGAAGTACTGCTATGGGTTACAAACAACAGAAAATGCCAAACAACTTTACTCAATCCAAAGAAATGTATTCATTTACACCTCCTTCTCACCCCCTATACTCACCAGCAATTTTGAGGTGTGCATGGAAATGTTTATGAGTCAGCAGGGGCTCAGGTAACTCTCCCAGAAACATCTTCAGCAAGGTAGCAACGTCATTTGAATGAAACTCCCCTGATTCCAAGTCAATATCAGTTCCATTATTGAGAGCATCTCTTAAAATCTGCTGTCGGACACTATTCCCTGGAACTCTAAACAAACCCTCTACTCTCAAGTCTGTTTAGCATGGAAAAAACAGAGGACATGCAAAAAGAAGTCACAATTAAAATAAGTCATCTAAAAGACTATGCTTGTAAGACCTTTTATAAAGACCTTGAAGGAGGTTTTCTCCTCATTTCCCAGAAAAGTTTTAAATCTACTGGCCCCTAAGGAGACTTGTCTGAACATCCCTGAGCACCTGGAGACAGTCTGCCCAGGACCAGGCACATTCAGAGACTGAATTTTACCTAAACAATGACTGGAATGAGCTTGAAAAATAAGTTGGAAGAAAGCCAAATCTCCCAGAAGGCTCCTTCCCTTTGGTTATCTCAGACTTTGGAGGGAATGAATTCATCTGTGGTGGTCTGTTGTTCCTATAAATGGTTTCTCAGTCCAAAATGAATCTAGAGTCTCTGCACTGCCCCAGAAATCAGAATTCTAACCTGTCAGATCACCTTTCGGACTGAGACTCCCAGAAGCTTAGGATCACCCCAACTGAACTGTTTTTCCCTTCCAACTAGGTTCTAAGCTAATCTAAGAGGATAAAGAAAAATGAGAATTAGAGTTTTGGTTCAATCTGGAAGAACCATGAGAGTTCATGTTTTCAACTTAGGTACATATTTATTTTTGGATAGCCCCCTAATTCAGGGGTTCAAGTTCAAAATGCCTTAGAGGGCCAGACAGATATTAATAAATGAATGAATGGGAACCAGAACAAACTAGAGAGTACATACTTGTGCTCCAGCTGATTGTGCCCAAGGGAGGGTCCCAAGATACTAGATCTTCCTATCACCCAGAGAATTCAAAAACCTGGACTTTCCCCATTCCCCACTGATAACTGATTTTATTTTTACTTTAATCCTTTCCCAACCAAACAAAATGTGAACGTAAAGGACTCAAGTCCTTACGCCATCAGTTTCCAACCTCTTCTCTAGCTCCTACCAGAATGCCCCACATAAAAAAGTCAAAAATAAGCATTTGTATTGAATTTATCAAAGTATCACATACACCACACATTTCACAACACTCAACTGTACCAAGCACTTACAGTAAGACATAACCAGCATGACCACAAAATAAATAAGCATTAAGCAAAGAATATATATATATTTTTAAAGATTTTGTTTATTTATTTGACAGAGATCACAAGTAGGCAGAGAGGCAGGCAGAGAGGGAAAACCCACTGAGCCACCCAGGTGCCCCCAAAGAATATATTTTAATTATAGAATTCCAGAGATGAAAACTATCTTTAGTGATAAATCATGTTCCCTTGAGTAAAGATCATGATTCTTTATAATGTATTTTTCCAGAAAAAAAAAAAGCCTGAGTCTAGAAGAAAATGTGATTTTATAGATACTATCTAAGTTATCTACATCTTTGAGAGTATAAAACAAACCAATATATGAGATGAAATTTAAAAGAGAATATATTTAGGGGAGCCTGGGTGGCTCAGTGGGTTAAAGCCTCTGCCTTCAGCTCAGGTCATGATCTCAGGGTCCTGGGATCGAGGCCCGCATTGGGGGGAAGGGGGGGGGTCTCTGCTCAGCAGGGAGCCTGCTTCCCCTTCTCTCTCTGCCTGCCTCTCTGCCTACTTGTGATCTCTCTCTCTGCCAAATAAATAATAATAACCTTCAAAAAAAGGGGGGGGAATATATTTAGAAACATGCCACCTAAAATTATCATTGGTTAGTATCTTTTGTTCACTGGCACCTACTTACTCAAGGAAGTTAGCTTTCAACAGAAAACTGAGAATTCTTCATTAACAAAGAATAATAAAATCTTGAGAACTCTTACTTTTGTGTAGATACTCAATTAGCTGGTATATCTGGGCAATGCCTTCCTCCGTCAATGGGGATCCAAATACCACTCCTTTTTCTAAAAAACCATACAACAGGACAGAGCTATATTTTCCATATCTAGTACAAAATCATCATTCTTAAAGCCACTCATGCATCCTATATTACAGTTCAACAAATGCTTTCACAGATTCAATAAACAGAACCTTAAAGCTAGAAGTACACCCAAAAATTCAACAACTCTCAATCAACTCTCCACAAGTTTAATATTAGTCATAGCTTCATTGAAGGCAAAGACCATCTTCTTAGTTAAGTAACAATACCTAGTGTGTTGATATTTAACTTAAAAGAAAAACAGTGAGGCGCCTGGGTGGCTCAGTCAGTTGAGCATTCCACTCTTGGTTTCAGCTCAGGGCATGATCTCAGGATCCTGAGATCGAGCCCTGCATTGGGCTTCAAGCTCTCACAGAGTGCATGAGATTCTCTCTTTCCCTCTCCCTTTGCCACCTCCCCCACTCCAGCCCATGCACTCTAAGATAAATAAATAAAACCTTTAAAATAGATAAATAGGGCGCCTGGGTGGCTCAGTGGGTTAAAGCCTCTGCCTTCGGCTCAGGTCATGGTCCCAGGGTCCTGGGATCAAGGCCCGCATCGGGCTCTCTGCTCAGCGGGGAGCCTGCTTCCTCCTCTCTCTGTCTGACTGTCTCTCTGCCTACTTGTGATCTCTCTCTCTGTCAAATAAATAAATAAAATCTTTAAAAAAATAAATAAATAAAATAGATAAATAAACAGAATTTAGAACCACGACTGTCAAAGTATGACAGATTATTCACTGGCATTGGTATAAGCCTGATCTGTTATAATGTTCAAACTTTTTTTCTACCATAAATGATTTTCTTATACTTAATAAAATAGTACCTCTTTAATATCTTATCAAAAGTAGTCCACAATTTATTTTCTAGGAAGGCTTTTATTTTGGGTGACTCATAGATATCTGCCTTATCAAAGCAGTCCATAGAATGAACACATTCAAGAACTGCGATAAAGAAAGTTCAAACTTTCTTTACTGTACTCTCCAGCTATGTCATAGGGCATGAAAATCAAGGTGACTACCTAAACTGAATCATGTCACCTTTCTCAGGGATTGATACACTTGCTTTAGTTTAGCTACTTTATAAATTTTTATTGCTAACCTGAGATTTTACTACTTAAGAAAATGAGAAAAATGCCCCCCCCCAAAAAACAAAACCAAAAAACCTTTACATAATAGCAACTCAGTGAAAGTACAGATGTGAGGAGGTGAAGCCCAGGGAGCAGCTGCGACCTGCCCACCCTTCACAGACACGTGCCTTACCCTTTCGCTTGAGAGACATTAGAGACCGGAAGAATCCTGACGCTGGGCCAGCCCCACCAGGCAATTTAAGGTCCACTTCCCCCATCAGCTGAGCCAGCTCAGTTCCAGGTAAGTCAATGAGCCTTGTGATATTGCTGACCACCAACTCGGTGAACACCTCAGGTTTCTCATGTCGGAGTTTCTCCACAAAAAAGTCAGGATTGAAGATAATGGGCTGCCCTCGAAGGGAAGAGTCATTGCAGATAACAAAATTGCAGATGGCATCACTGAAAAAATGAAACAAGACACTTTAGGGGGATCATTTGTGCATGTTTCTCGTGCTCTGTAAGCCATACAATTATTCACTGTTTCTGTGGGTTAACCTACATATTGGTTTAAAAAACCTAATCCTTAGTCTGTTCAATGTACAAAAGAAGACAATTTGAGCTTGTTGCTATTTAGGTTATACCCACCTAGATACTTAGGAATTTCATCTAATGAAAAGATACTAAATAACCTCTAAATACAACTTGACTCCCTGCTCAGTGGGGAGTCTGCATCTCCATCTCCCTCTGCCCCTTCCCCTCCTCCTGCTCATTCGTGCTCTGATAAATAAAATCTTTAAAAATAAATAAATAAATAAGAGCCGATTTTGCCCCTTAATTTCAGGTGTACACCATAAGACATAGATCCTTAGAACCTCCCTAGCCCAATGGTATATTAAATTTGGTAGTCACACAGAGCACATTTCCTTATTAAAACAGCAAAACCCTGAATTTTTACTGTTAAATACTAGTAAGATGCCAGACCTGCCGCTGTTCTTCCTAACACAGCATGGGTAATAGTTTAGGCCTTCTTGGGACTATAGCCAGTACCGTACAATATTTCCCATGCAGTGTCCCAACTGTCGACAGTACCACATTTAGGCCAGTCTCAAATGCCACGGAAACCACATGACAGAAAGCATGAAACTATTTAAGAGCTAAAACTACATCTAAATAGTGTAGTAGGCATTTTGGAGACATTTACTCTACCCATACAGTTATTTGGTTCCTGGGTCCCTACACAGGTGTTTGTTTTCTCTTCCTTCCTTCCTTCCTTCCTTTCTTTATTCCTTCCTTCCTTTTTCTTTCTTTCTTTTTTTCTTTCTTCCTTCCTTTCTTTTTCTTTCTTTCTTTTTTTTTTTAATTTTATTTATTTATTTGAGGGGCGCCTGGGTGGCTCAGTGGGTTGGGCCGCTGCCTTAGGCTCGGGTCATGATCTCGGAGTCCTGGGATCGGGCCCCGCATCGGGCTCTCTGCTCGGCGGGGAGCCTACTTCCCATCCTCTCTCTCTCTGCCTGCCTCTCTGCCTACTTGTGAACTCTGTCTGTCAAATGATAAATAAAATCTTTGAAGAAAAAAAAGGAAAGAAAAATTACTACATACAGTCCAAATTTTCAATTGATAGCTACTAAATTCTTTCTTTTCTCTGAAATGATAATAAAAGAATTCACGTAAAAATTTAAAATTATAAACATGTATTCTCAAGCCAAAAAGTCATTAAGAAAGATATCTAAAACTGCTTACCGACTTAACATTTTTATATACAAGGAAAGGTTATTTTTCTTGTAAGGGTGCAAATGATTATAAGGCAATTAAAATCAAAACCACGTGCATCCTAAACCATTGACAAAACCTCTTTTTCTTTTAGTGTCAGCTTATTTCAGTGAAGAAACATGAGTCAATATAAAACTACTGTTTATAATCACTGACAATGAGAAATCACTACTCTGAGAGAGCCAGAAAAATCATGAAATGTATTAGCACTGAAAAGAGTCTTATAATTTACTGAGTCTAAACTATCATTTTATGGACTTCAGATCCCTTTTAATTCTGAAAAACCGATTTCAGATCAAATTAGTTCTAACACATAAATATGCATAAATAGCATCCATTAGGGGCGCCTGGATGGCTCAGTCAGTTAAGTGGCTGCCTTCTGCTCAGGTCATGATCCCAGGGTCCTGGGATGGAGCTGTGCATCAGGCTCCCTACTCAGCAGAGAGCCTTCTTCTCCCTCTCCCTCTCCCTGCCGCTCTGCCTACTTCTGCTCTCTATCTCCCTGTCAAATAAATAAATCTTACAAAAAAAAAAAAAAAAATAGCATCCACTACATTCCTGAAGCAGAAACACACAGAGACATATAACCTTCAGACTTTAATTTTATTAATATCCCAGAGCAATATTCAGTTAAGATCCTAAAACTTCCATCACAGGGATGCCTGGGTGGCTCATGGGTTAAGCCTCTGCCTTTGGCTCAGGTCATGGTCTCAGGGTCCCAGGATCGAGCCCTGCATCAGGCTCTCTGCTTGGCAGGGAGCCTGCTTCCCCCTCTCTCTCTGCCTGCCTCTCTGCCTACTTGCAATCTCTCTCTCTCTCTCAATCTCTGTGTCAAATAAACAAATAAAATCTTTTAAAAAAAATAAAAAAATTAAACTTCCATCACAGATGACACTCCAGCACTAAACTGGATCAAATACAAAAATGAGAAAGGAGCTAGAAGCACAAAGCCCTAGCTACATAGTTTCTCAATAGAGTCCTCCCTACCTGACCATCATCTTCAAGTCTGTCCCCTCCTAAATAGGTAGAACAGATAGAAGAATAAGTAAGTTCAAGGCTCCCTCTACCCATTCACAAAGAATACCAGAAAAAGTTCCCTTGGAAGTCCTAACCCACAGGTAATAAGCAATCTGTTTCTTTTCACCTTCTACTTTTTCTCCCCTTCCTTCCCATGACCATTCATCCTCGTTTTGCCCCACTTGAACATCTTTAACCTAGTTTTTTATTTCTCCTTTTTCACTTTTTCTGAGTGGAGCACCTATCTGGTAAGACAGGATGTAAGAGAGAAAAATGATTAAAAGGGAAGTAAAATGGAAGATGGGAGATGGAAAAGACAGATACACAGTGGGTTACATTTTTTTTTAATTACCCCCATACCACATAGCCTGCTAATCCCTTTCCACAGAATACACAGTATCACAATATAAAGTTGAGAATATCTAGGAACATGATTAAGAACTTAAGAGATTTCTAGGACTAAAGAAAATACTACATTTAAGTAAAAACAACTTCCTACTCTACAGTATCTTATTTTAAAACAAAGTCTAAGTTTGCTCAAGTTCAAGAAAAAAAATTTAATTTCTTACATAAGTGCTGAAAGCTTCTGATGAGGCATTGGTAAAGTGAAGAGACTGGAAAAAAATTTTTCTCCTTGTTTGTTGTGACAAAGGAACCCTCCTTTCCCTGCCCCATTACAGCCTACACAAATTCCAGACATGTTAGACGACACAAGGACACATTATGGGGCCTCAAAGGCAGTACTTATCAGGACTCTAAGCACTCATTTGCAAGCAGGAACAAAACAGAAATAAAAAATTGGACCAGTTCATTGTATTTGCCAACGTGTAGATAAAGCTCAACAGTAGCCTCCCATCACACTAAAAGTTGTATTAGACAAAACAATCATATAATGTAAGAGTGTAAGGACAAGTACTTTTATAGTATGGAGGGAAGAATGATCCCTACCTCACATCATACACAAAAAATAGAAAAAAGATCAAAATATGAAAAGCCAAACTTTAAACAGTTTAGAAAAGAAGAATGAATAATAAATGAGGCAGAAGAAATGTGTCTTAAACAAGGCATAAACAGTCCACAAAGAAAAGACTGACACATTTAACTACATTAAAATTTTAAATGTGTGTACAACAAATGACATTTTGAACAAAGTTCTTTAAAAATGAAGTCAAAATGCCTCTGGAGAGAGGAGCTGGATGAAAGAACAGGAGTGGGAGAAAAACTTTTCACTGTATGTTCTTTCGTATTTTCTGGATTTTTGATTCATGTGAACATACTACCCATTCACAATAAATACATAAATAGATTTAAAATTTTAAACTAGAAAGCTATAAACTGGGGAAAAAAACTTGTCATGCATATAAAAGGATTAGTATTCAGAATTTATCAATCTAAAAATTTATATCTAAAATTTAGAAGAAAAACATACTCAAAGAAAATTAGACAAATGATCAAGTAATTCATAAAGGAGGAGCCCTACGCGACTAACAAACATGAAAATAATCTCAACCTTAAAAGTTACAAGGGTTGGGGTGCTTGGGTGGCTCAGCTGTTGGGCGGCTGCTTTCAGCTCTGGTCATTATCCCAGGGTTCTGGGATTGAGCCCTAGATCAGGCTCCCTGCTTAGTGGGAAGCCTGCTTCTCCCTCTCCCACTCTCCCTGCTTGTGCTCCCTCTCTCGATGTGTCTCTCTGTCAAATAAAAATAAAAATAATTAAAAGTTACAAGGTCGGGGCATACTGAGCATGGAAACTAGTTAAGATTCTCTCTCTCCCTCTCCCTTTGCCTCTCCCCCAGTCATGCAAGCATGCACACTCTCTTTCTCTCTCTCTCTTTCTAAAAAGGGAGAAAAAAGTTACAAGCGTAAGCAAATTGAAGAATGGTGTCTTTCCCCATCCATCAGTTTGGCAAAAACTATCAGATTCAAGCAATATCTTTTTACTCCTAGTTTGCTGAGGGTTATTTACTATCATGAGTCAGTGTTTAATTTTATCTATTTGTTATGCAGCAGTTGATATGATTTTTCTCCTTTATTTTGTTAATGTGGTGAATGACCCTGATTAATGTTAAACCAATCTTGCACTTCCTTTTTTTTTTCTTAAGATTTGACTTATTTATTTGACACAAAGAGAGAGAAAGACAGTAGGAGAGGGAACACAAGCAGGAAGAGTAGCAGAGGGAAAAGCAGGCACCCCACTGAGCAGAGAGCCCAACGCAGGGCTCCATCCCAGGATCCTGAGATCATGACCTAAGCTGAAGACAGACGCTTAACAACTGAGCAACCCAGGTGCCCCAATCTTGCATTTCTAGAATGCTGTTATATTGTCATCTTTATATATTGCTGAATTTGGTTTGCTAATAGTCTGGGTTTCCATATAGATTCATAAGTGAGACTGTCATGGAACTGCTTTCTCAAAGTAGAGAGTTCCTGTGAAATCTTTCATGAGCCAAAATGGCATTAAGTGAAGAAGCCATTACCATTAACTTATATGGAAAAAATTTTTTGCATCTCCAGACCCCAAAAATAGCCCCTCTTAGCATTTTTTGATCCTACATTCCTGGTGGATGCACAAAATAAATCAAGATAAAGCAAAGATACCCACAGACACAGTTCAAACTCAGGAGAGCTTGCTGCTGAGATGCTGAGTATAGTTCTTGGAGAAGGAGCTTGGG